TTAACCCCTTGGGGACGGGTGATTCAGAAAAGCATTCGTACAAAATCAGAATCAGGATGTAATTAAATAAAAAACGGAACTAAAATGTAGTCGTTGCTAATTTGACAGACTTACTTTGCTTTTACTTTAATTATTGTTAGTTTAATCATATATGTAATCATTGCTTTGCTTTATTTAACAAAAAACTGGGTGCCTGGGCCGCGTAGCGGCCCCTAACCCATACATCATGAAATAATTTACAGGTTGAATTACAAACATTTTGATTTATGCAGCATTAAAGTATGTAATCATTGTTAGTTCAAAGTATAACTAAATAGTTTTATTTTGAACAAAGTAATGGTGAATTAAATAAATCAAATAATTATAACTCCACCCACAAATAAACTGCTAAAGTATTACTTTGATTACCAGTTTTATCTTTTCACCCTGATTGATACGGTTTTATGCTGGCACGTATTTGTGACAGTCGGTGCGAATGGGTTAAACAGATGCTACGTCCAGTCACATTCAGACTTATCAATAAATCATCCCTGGGACATCGTTCCCAGAACAATACCGAAACTTAAACATTTTTACTAACAAGCAGACAAATCTCTTAACTGATTGGCAATGTGCTATTAATGTCTCAAAAAGGGTAAAAACTTTCGAATTAAAAATAACAGTTTTTCTTTTTGGCTGATAACTATTTATTTACTGAACGAGCAGAAATACTTTATTAAATAATCATGAGTAAGAAAACCATAAACGATAGTTAATAACATTTTATTTTGACTAATTTATATCAGGAGGAATTCAGACTGTTTTATTATATCACAGAGAGAAAAGAGACAATCATTTCACTTAGAACATGTGATTTAAAATTAACAAAGCTGTTAGTTACTGAATGAATTTAAATACATTCTAAATGAAGCAAAACCGTATATGGCAGGTTAAAGAGAGAACAAAACATTTTAAATTTGCTGAAAATCACAGTTCCTTTTTTTGTGCTAAAGCCTATTTATCCTAAAAATCACAATTTTGGTGAAGCTGAAAAAAGTCCGAGCAAAAGCGAGCATGACATAATGTCCTAGAATGGCATAGATTAATATGGAATGTTGAAAGGATATTCCGGATGATCTGGTATCCTGAAAATAAAAATAATACAATAATTTGTTTATAAAATTTCCCTTTGTCCCTTTGACGTAAATGGGATACCGATATTCTTTTTATATATTTTTTTTTCTGATGCTCTAATTACAGGTAAATATATATTTTGGTATTTTGAATTGCAATAAGTCTAGCAGTTCCTAAATCTGTTAGATTGTTGGAATTATATTTGTACTGAAATATTAAATCCAAAAATAGTAGTTTGGAGAGAAAAATTTTTTTTTCATTAATATTCAAAAATTTGTCAATAATTAGATTTTGTAATTAAAAATTTTTTTATTAATGAACAGCTGTTTTTCTTTAATAAAATAACGACTGTTTTACCTTAATGAAATAATGAATTTGTAATGAAAAACGTCAGTATATATTGATAATAATGAATTCATAATGAATATAACTGCAACATTGATAAAATTATTGTTTGGAAGTGAGCCGTGTTTGTATGATATTATCTTTAACTCAAAAAAAAAAAAAAAAACACTAGTGTTTTACGCTGTAGTTCATAATTATAAATTATTAAAATACTGAATATAATATTTTTCTCTTATTTTGACCTAAATTAATTTTAAAAAAAATGAAAATATGAAAAATAATGTTCAATAAAAATTGTACGTCAATAAGTTAATAAGTTAAACTTCTACAGAATTAAGAAAAATTTAAAATTTTTGAGGTATTTTAAATTATTAATAAAAATATAAAATCCTAAAGATCATATTGTGTATTGCAAAAATAACTAAATATTTAAATTTGAAAATTTTGATAAGTGAACTGAATTAAAATAATAATACAACGTGATTATTTAATATACTAGATATTCATTTATCTTAAATAATGCTTAAAACACTTAAAACTTTTAAAAACACTTATTATTTATTTGATTATAAGCAAATCATTCTCACCCTGTTGGTCTTGCAAAAGAAAAATATCTCCGACGACGATCAATGCACTTTAATGCGTCCATGTCGGGTTCTTGTAATGTGAAATCAAATACCTAGAAACAAAATTTTGAAATTCAAAAATGAAATCTAACACTTTTAAATATAAAAACAAAAACTATTACAATCAACATAAAATATCAATTATAAAATTACTATGAAAGGAGTAATTTTAAGCCCGAACAATTTGGGAAAGACGAAATTTTAAAATTTTAACTCTTCTAAAACCATTGATTATAATTATCAGAAATTTTACGAATTGACCTGTATCATCTATAACCAACACCTCTTTGAAGAGAGAAGGCCTCAGCACGGATCAATTTAGTAGTCTGACGTAACGGGCATATCCTTCTCAGTAGAGCAAAAATAAGAAAGATGTCATTACGTTTGGACTACTAATCGATAAAATTTCTTGTTTATGGTAACCTGTGCTGTGGTCTTCTAAATTGTATTGGGATAACTCGTGCAGGGAATATTTTCCAAAAATTAGAAAAGAAATAGTAGTAATGCTAATTGTTTTATTTCCAGCTGGTTTTTAAGAAAAGTAAAATATCTGTGAAAAGCCTGACCTATTTAAGGTTGCCCCAACCTGAAAATTTTTTTACTGACAATAATAAAAAAAAAATTAAAGAAATTTTGAAGGTTATTGAAATTTTTTTTAAAATTTTTCATTTACTTGCGCATTCTAAAACCATTCTCGATTCTTTTAAATTATTTTTATTCAAAATAAAAAAAAATTTTTCTCAATTTGGCTGCCTCCAAGTTTTTTTTAAAGATCATAGCAATCCTGTTATTACATTTAAAACATAAAGTTGGTAGCACTTGAAATCATACATAGGCATATGAATTTTTAAAAAAAAAACTGAAGTGAAAGCAAAGTAACAAGGTTTTTTACTTTTATTAATTATTCCTCTATGCACTAAAAAAAAACTTCATAAAACGTAAGAAGGAGACTGATAGAGTTGTATTTCACCAAGAAAAAGATAACAATTGCATACCTGCCAACTTATACCGTCGCTGAAAATAATTTTACAAAGTGGTAGTGAAACAACAATTAAAGTTGGAAATATTTTCTAAAAATTAAATTACTTTAACATTAAAGGGCTAAATATTATTTGGGGCTAAATATATCATAACTACATAATTTTTAATTTGTCATGATGGGTGGAAACTTTTTTTTAAAACTTTATATTGAAGATTTAATAAGTCAAAACGATATAATGTTACTACCACTAAGAAATTTCTTTCTCAACGGCTGTACAATTCGCAGCTACTATGCTTTGATTATTGAAACGAATTCATTACATAACATGGTTTAAAGATAATACATATAAAGACATTTTATTCAAGCAATTTCTTCTATTTTTAAGAAAATAAAATATCTGTAACTACCAAGATTTATTTTACAATCATAGCATATATATAATTTTTTTTTGAAAGGGATTAATTGTTGAGTAATAAATTCAGAAATCAACTCCAGTTCTTACCGATGACATCTTAGTCTTATTAATTAACACGTTGAACGCCACGCTAATTTTACATGGCTTGCCAATCTGGCCACAGTAAATAACTACAAACTAAATTTGCAAATATTAGACTGATTTTGCTTTTTTTAGAAGGTTTATCATGACATATCTGTCAATAGTATGACATATCTAACAAAAGTGGTGAATTATCTACGAATTGTTTAAAAATAGTGGTGGATAAAAATCTACTAAATTGAATTTATTAAACCAAGAATCACAATTATTAAGTAAATTTTGAATAAATTTTCTGCAATTCCATAAAAGAGTGTAAATTTTATAGTTTGTGCACTGTCAGCCAGCTGTTTTTCGCGGCCTATATGAAAGGTCAGTGTCAGCAAGCGGTGGCAGACGCTTCCTAAATGTAATTTCAGTATCAGCCACCGGTGGTTGACGCGGACTAAATATAATTTCAGTGTCAGCCAGCGGTGCTAATTGTGTTTCACAACGTTTTTATATTGATGTTGTTTTTTTAAGAAATAAAGTCAATATTTTTCATTACGAACTATCCACCACGACTTACGTTGATGTGGAAGTAATTTGGTTTTTTTTTAAACGCCTTTTCTGAAGTGCTGGGTTTGAAGTTCAATATTATGAATGCTTAATGTAATAAAAGATGATTATATTCATTAAAAATGTAATCATTAACAAATTGTAAAAAAAATGAATACTTACATCAATATTTTCTTTTAACCGCTTCTCGTTAGTGCTCTTCGGTATAACTATAATGCGCCTTTGGATCAAGTAACGTAATAAGACCTACAAAAATATTTTTTTAAACACATTAATACAATAAAAATATAAGAACTACAAATATATATTTAATGTTTTTGTTTTTTACTATTAGATCAGGATATGGAACATCTGCTAATTACAGATTTTTTGCATATTTATGTTTTGATATTTAAAGAGGTAATGATTTATATAGATTTCTTTTTAATTTTTGGATTTATAAATTTAATTATTTTATTTTGACCACCAATAATTGCAAATAAACCAATCGTATTCAGAAGAACTTCGATCAATCGTTTCTCAAGGGACCATTCATTACAAATAGATACTGGAAAACGACGAATGCGGGTCAACTTAAAATGACGAATAATGACTAGAAAATATTTGAAAATCAATAAATTCATAATAAGTGTAAAAAAATTTTAATTGAAAAATATTAAATGATTCCTGCAAAAATATTGACGATGCAAAAGAAGAATAAATAAATAAATTCATTTATTTACAATATTTAGAAATTTTGTTTCCTTTTCTCCTTAGCCTCAAACCATAAATTTTCGACATTGGTTACAGATTGTTGTTCATTTTATGAAAGTTCGTGGTACAAAAATAAAAATCTTTAATGTTTCAAAGTCTTTGAAGCCTTCCCAAATGTTTGCTCCAATTGGTTCTATTAAGTTCTGTCGTTATCAGCATCAATTTGCACTTCTGCAAACAACATTACAAGTTTCAATATTTTTATCAATTGATGGATAATCATTTACCCTGTTAGAGGTGCTCGATCAAGATATCAAAAGATAATCACAATATCGAAAGATAGTTTCTTCTAAAACAGTCAATAGTAAATAATCTAATACCTTAATCAGAAATACGTCACATAGAAATTCTTTAGCTAAACTTTGAAGAAAAAAGAATGCTAAAATTTAGGAAACTAGGTATTCGCACTAAGTACCTAGCAAAGCATCGGTGGCATTCTAAAGAAAATAATTTGCAAGATTTATTATTTGCAAAAAGCAAATAGCTTATTAATTAGAGGCAATAATTATTTTGAGAGAACTACTGACAGTAAATTTAATTCTCATTTTGAAAACACTGGCATGGAAGTTGAGATTAAAATATGAAACAGTAAAAAAAAAAAAAAATTCAGAGGCCCCTCTAAGATAAAAGCTAAGAAATTTTTAAGAAAAAATGTTTTTTTTTTAACATATAATTTAGGGCACTAACAACTTGGGGGCCCGGGCACATGACCCAAGCGCTTTCGTATATCAGTCTTCGGTTCAAACTTGTTCAAGCGGCCCAATCGCTTTATAATGGGCCGTATTGCGGGTTAAAATAGGTAAAATAAAATCATTTATTCTATGGTTTTGAAATCCGTTATAAAAATCTGTCAATCAAATGAAAAAATATGACGTAACATAAAAATATTAATAGTCTGTATAATCAACTGAAATATAATCAGTCCATTCATAAAAATTTTTCTAATCATATTAAAAAAATAGTCATAGTTCAAAGGAGTTAGATTTAAATTAATTGGGCGTATACCACGTTAAAGTATTAAAAATAACGATTTTCAAGAGTCATGTCTTTTTCAAAATTTTTTTTTTTTGAAATCCTCAATATGATAATCGAATATTGATAAGTAAGAATAAATCAAACGAATTCCTTTTCCTCTGCCTGGGCTATTCATCATCTTTGACCCACTTTTGCCAATCTTAATCATCTCTCAATCCAGACTTCAACTTTACTTCTTTATTTATAAAAAAATAAAAAAAAATATGTGGCGAAAACGTCAAACTTGTAATCGATTCATAATCGACGAACAAAGAGAAACTGTAAGGGAACGTGGAATCTTTATCGCTTTTCGAATCGATACTTAACATTTTTATCAATATTTTTCAGGAGAGATTTCAGGAAAGCATTTATTAAAGTCGTTCACATTTTTTTCAGGGAATGTTTTCCTTGACAGGTTTTATGTTTAAAAATATCTCATTTTAAGGAATCGATTTTGAATATTTTTTTCAAAGAAAAAAAATTACTAATAAACCCATTGCACTTATAAAAGTATCACGTCAAAATAAGGCTGACAAGTTATTTTCACAGAGAGAAAAATTATTTCGACGAAGAAATGGAAGAAACTCTTTCGTTAAAATATAAGAAATAAGAGATATTAAGACATAATTTATAACACATATGTAATATATGTAATTGCACTAAAAATAATATAATAAAAAGGAAGTAAACTAAAAATAATAATAATAGTTATCTANAAAAAAAAAAAAAAAAAAAAAAAAAAAATTACTAATAAACCCATTGCACTTAGAAAAGTGTCACGTCAAAATAAGGCTGATAAGTTATTTTCATAGAGGGAAAAATTCTTTCAACGAAGAAATGGAAGAAACTCTTTCGTTAGAAAAATAAGAAATATAAGATATTAAGACATATTTCATAACACATATGTAATATATATAATTGCACTAAAAATAATATAATAAAAAGGAAGCAAACTAAAAATAATAATAATAGTTATCTAGATATTGTTTATTTATTTAAGAAAATAAGGTAACATTAATCCAAATAAAAATAAATTTCTATAATAGAGGTTAAATTACTATATAAAGAGATTAAATTACTGTAATAGAGGTTTTTAAATTCTGTAGAAAACTAGTATAAATAACATTAAAATAGTTATTTTTTTAAAAAAAATGTAATTTCATTTTTTTAAACATATCCATAATGTATTTTATTTAAAAAAAATGTAAATTCTAAAAAACTTAAATTTTATTCGTGTAAATTTTAATTTATTTTATAATATTTATCTAAGCAGTAGAATCGGTTATAGAAGTTCATAAATAATGTGGTTTAAAATAAATGAAATACTAAAAAGCTAATATTTCACCTGCGCGGGTGTTTTTCCATGTTTCTCGCATAAAGGTTTCAAACTCGGATCATCCAGTAAACGAACTTCTTCATCACCTGGAGCCCTAAAATTTGGCATAAATTTATATCAATTTTACAAACATTATGTGAAATATAATAAAATAGGGCAAGATAGTGAAAATAAAACTTTTGAACTTGATAAAAATGAAGAGTGGATTTTACAAAAATGGTAAAGAGTATTTAAAAAATATATATATAAAACCAAAAAAATATAAGTACATAAATATTTAGCTCTTTTCATTGTATGCTTATATACTACATGCGTTTTCTTTTTAGGTATTATAATAACTTACGTACGAAATTATCCAATGAATTCAAAGGGAGCAACAGATGGTTAAAAGATTAAAAATATTAGTGGGGTGGCTGAAAAATAATGACGTTTTGAATATTAATAAGGAATCCAGTTACTTCTCGAATCATAATTTCAGTTCTTTGCAGATTTTTATAAAAGGTGGCTTATGCCGGGATGTCACAGTAAACTAAAAACGTAAAAAGCGGTAGAAACTCACTTCACTTTTATTATCATATTATCATTTCAATAATTTAATCGAAACTAAAACTATAATTTACATTTCAAATTATTCATATTTAAAGGAAAGTCGTTCCTTGTATTCATTTTCAATAGTAAACTGGAAATAAAATATATGCCATAAAAAGTTGCTAATTTCAATTTAAATTAATAAAATTTTGAGTTTTAGTTGCCCGTGGTAACCCTGCTTATGAGAGAGCTGATTCAGATTTTGATCTTAGTAGACTATTTGTGCATGACTACGAGCTGCACAGGCTTTCATTTCTAGGAGATAAAGTATTGTATACAGTTACAATGAGCGTTAACCCTCTCCCGAACAGCAAATTTCGATTGATAATTTTAATCCGACTGGACATTAGCAAGTGCGACTTTAGTACTTTCTAAGTAAAGTGACATGCGTCAGCTCTTTATTGCTTGAAGAATAGTGGGTGCAAGAAGTTTGAAAGCAATTAGCGATCTGTTTCTAGTGGTTTGTAACATTTGTTGAATTTGTATTGAATTGGTGTTACTTTACCGGGGCTACATTGCATCGGAAAGGGTTAAGAATAGAAATTGCATACCTATATGGTGATCCTAAGGGTGCGTATGCTGTGAAGGCTATGCCCAAAATCTTACAAAAATCCTGTAGCTCAAACTGCGGTAAATATGCGTGGCACTCCACCTGCAAAAATAAAAATAAAAAACCGTTTAAATAATTAGTTTAGTCAACATGTTATGACGTTAGCGTTTCTGTCGAGTCAAAAGTGCAAAACATATTTCAAAGCATTAATAGAAGAAATGTATGGGAAGAATACGAAGCCCTTTATCAAACTAGAAACTCGAAATACATACTTGAAGCTAAATCTTGCATTAATAGAGATGAGAAGTCTTCAATATTCTGCTACAAAATAACTGGATAGACAAAGACTTTGTAAAAGAATTTTGAGGAAAACTAGCAGTATGCAGTGTTTATCGATTAATTATTTAGAAGTAATATTTTAATATTATGAACAGTTACGACTCTCGATTGTTTTAATGAATGCTCTTTTTTTAAAATGTTGTTGAAATACTTTCTTAACTTTGTCATCTTTAACGAAAATTTATAACTATCTTTAAAATAAAAAGTTTCAATATTTAGGTTACGTACTCTTACATACCTGCCAACTTTTAATTCCTTCAATTATGATTTTTCCCAGTGGTATTAAAAACGGAATTAAAATTTCAATTTTAAGCAACGAAATACGTTGTACTTGAAAAAATCTTGAGTAGGAATGATTGAGAGTAATGCATAATAATATATATGCGTAAGATTTTTAAAAATAGTGGTGATCAAAATCATTTAAAAATTAAGTTTATAAAAGAAAAAATAGTATATATTTACTACCACTTTAAATATAAAAATAAAATTTTACGCCAAATGCGTAAAAGTTGGCAGGTATGCTCTTATTGCATTTCACGAAAGCTTTATAAAATTAAGAGTAACCCTATTACCGTAAATATTAAAATGATATTATAAGTGTTTTTACGAAAGAAAATAACTGTATACATAGATGTTTAACCTTTTCGTGACGGGCGAGTCATATATGCACTCTCAGGGTGTCGATAATCAGGGTAAAAAAAGATAAAACTGGTAGCCAAACTATTTTCCAGCAGTTTATTTGAGGGCAGGGTAATAGTAGTTTGCTTTATTTAATCTACCACTACTTAGTTCGAATTAAATGCATAGTTACACTTCTAACACACTACGATTGGATGTGGAGAGGCGATGCAGATTAAAGATCTATGCTGGTCTAGGATGCCGACAACTGATGCTGGTCTTGCTCTACTGATGTCTTCTTCTTCCTTGCGATGTCGGTCATGAAGAATTGATGCCGATTATCCTGAAAGTTTCAAGGTGAGTGATGCTGATTTTGATCTCGTCAGGTTTCTGAGACGAGAGAGACAATACTGATAACTGACCATTTTGATGTCTGGATTTTGATCCCGCCATTTTGTTTTTTCAAATCATGCCGTATCATAAAACAGCTCGTGGTGGAAAGGTCTCATTCTCTGGTCGTAATTCACCGTCGCATTGCGTAGAGTCCACGTCATTAGAAAAAATCATTGCTACCTGTGGGATTTCAAAAAGATATTTTCCATCAGTTAAACTTGAACATATTGATGATCTTGTAGAGTTTTACTCTCAGTTTGATACAGAGGAGCTGATTCGCTTAGATAAATTACTTAGCAAACTGCTCATTCAGATAAGATCAAGTTACCCTGGAGACTATGAATACTCATACTTCCTAAAACTGACAAATGCAGCTTATCACGTCAGATGGAAGAGGAAAAACTTTCAAGCAGAAGAAAACAAGGATATGAATAAGAAATCCATTCAAGTCGAATCAATAATGATTGAAACTAATCCAAGCACTGAAGACATAACAATGGAAAATAAAGATGAAAACCTGATTACAACACCGAATACAGAAACTGACACGGACGTCAATATTAACAATAATACAGAACCACCAGCAAAGAAAAGAAAAAAGAAGAAGAAAAAGCAAAATGCAGT